GCGTGGCAACACCTGGGGGGGGGGCGACCTAAATACGTGTAGGCCGGGCCTGTCCCACTACAGGAGGATTTTGGACGAAACATAAAAAAAATACTACAAAAATGCTCAAAAGCTGCCCAAGAATACTCAAACAAATAGTCCCCAGACTATTTGGTTCACTAGTTCTGAATAGATTCCCCCTATAGAGGGACAGGCCCGACTTAAAAATACTTCTACACTCCACTCGCCAAGTGGCAAGCTCGCGGGGCCAACAAAAATCGGGTGTTGCTAGAAGTGCCCCTGGCCCAAGGTGCCCCCAGCTTTTCGCTCCATTTTGGAGCCCCTGGGGTCCTCTGGGCCTCGTGAGGGGTGCCCTGGAGGCCGCCTGGGCCACCCCGAGAATCCTGGGGGTACCTTGGGCCAGGAGCACTTCTAGCAACACCCGAAAAAATACAATTCCATCCTGCGCGCCACGTGGCAACACATGGAGGGCTCAACGCAACCCTCTGCTCGCCACACGTGGCAAGGCCCGAGGGGGGCAAAACAAGTGTTGTCCCGCTCCAGTCGCCGCGTGGCAGCGACCTAGGGGGTGAACAAAAAAGTACAACTCCACTCTACACGTCGGTCGGAAGAAGTAGGTAAAGACATTAAGTAGGAAGGCGGATAAAGTGGACTGGGTCCAGGCCCTCCCAGAGAATAACAAAACACAGCAAAAATATGTCAATTCTTGAAGTAGGAAGGCGCTTGAAATAGATTGGGATCTGGCAATCCAAGAATCCTACTTTCAACGACCGGCGTGTAACCGTCACGCGACATCGCTGCGGGTGGCGAGAATGTACTATTTCGATATGCCCACCACGTGGCAACGCCCAGGGGGCGAAACAACAAAACTGCAGATCCACCAAGTGACAACGCCGCGAGGCGGGAGCAAATACAATCTCACCCAGCTTGTACCGAGGCAACGACAGGGCGGCGAAAAACATGCCATCCAACTTTATGCGCCACGCAGAAAGCCGCACAACAAAAAAGGAGCACACGATTCCATTCGACATGACAGCGCGGCGGAGGTGCTCGCAATGATCTACTCGGCATGTGGCTCCACCGCAGACAACGACGACGACGACGAGGACGACGACGACGAAAACGAAGATGACGACTAAAACAACGACGACGACGAAAGCGACGACGACGACGACGACAAGGAAACACGGACAACGCCGACGACGAGTACGACAAAGACGATGATGACGACAACGACAAGGACGACAGCGACGGCGACGACGACGCCCGCCCGCTCGCCCGCCCGCGGCTTCGCCCGCCCGCGCGCCAAAGCACGCGCGCGTGCGCGCCCGCGCGCGGCCGCTGCAGCGCCCGCCTGGCCGCCCGCCCGACGGTCCGCCCGCGCGCACGCCCGCCCGCACGCCGGCCCGGGCGCCCGCCCGCTCGCCCGCTCGCCCGCTTGCCCGCTTGCCCGCTTGCCCGCCCGAGCGGGTGCGCGAGCCCGCCCAAGCGGGCGCCCGCTCGCGCTGCGCATCCGCCCGCACGCCGCCTCCCTCCCCGCTCTCCCCGCCGCACCCGTGACAAGCAACGATGACGACGAAGACAACGACGGCGACGACGACGACGGCGACGACGACGACGAAGACGACGACCACGACCACGACGCCAGCGAAGCGACGACGACGACGACGACTGCGACACCAACGACGACGACGTCGACGACGAAGACGAGGATAACGACGACATCGACGACGACGACGATGACGACGACGAAGACACGGACGACGCAGAAGACGGGTTTCTCGCCTAATTCTGATTGACTAGCCCATCATGTGCTCGTCATTCAGTGGGGCGCTTCTTGTAGTTGAAAAGAAAGCTTGTAAGGACTTCTGGGAAGGGAACTTGGGACGAGAGGGTGCGTTGCAGAATCATTGATACATGCTTGTTGTTCTATGGTGAATTTCCTCCTTCTCCTCCCTCTCATCCTTCTCTCTCTTCATCCCCCAAGTGTTCTCCCAAGAGTTTACACAATGGCCGGGGGAACACATGATCCAGGACCTTGATTGAACAGACGTTGGCCCGACTTTTGGCCGCATAGGCGTTTCCAAAAGGTCGGAGGTGGCGGTGAGTCACCGTAGGCGTCTTCGGTACATATCGCTCTCTCCTCCCGTCCCCTCATCCTCCTCCCCCTCCCCATCCTCCCCATCTTCATATCCCTCCTGTTCTCCTCACCTGCCGCTGTTTCCCTCGTTCAGAGCCTACGAGGAACAGCCGCAGGTCTGGAAGGGAGCAGGGGGTTGGGGGAATGCGGCGCCGGCCCGTCGAATCATCAGCTTCCGCAGCCGCTGGGCCTCGATCCTCTCCTCTGGGGGTGGACAGAAAACATCGATACCGCTGCTCCCTGGACTCACGCACGAGTATATATATATATATATATATAGATATATATATATATATACATATATATATACACACAGGTCTGCACGCGGGCCTAAACTCTCGACGTCGGCGCCGCTCGCAGAGGCGACGGCGGAAAGCGAGAGGACCCGGGGGACCCTCCAGGAGCCCAGGATCTGGCCAACACCGGCGCGCTCCCACGAAACGCCGACCACGGCATCCCCTGTGCGGGTCCAGTCGGTCGAACCTCGGACAGCGCCCCTGCACACAGATGCGAGCGCTTGTGTGTGTACGCGCGTGCGCAAACCCGGGGGCGGCCGAGAGGGGGGCGTCCAAGAGGGGGCGGCGCCAATCGTGGCCGGCGGCATGTGCGCGGCCCAGGGGTGGGGCCAGGGACGCAGTGAAATAAGAAGAGGCGCCATGAGATCTGAGGAAATATCATGGCCCCCGCCATGAGAGCCACCCCCCTGTAGTCATCCCCCCCCCCTCTTGGCCGCCCCCTGTGTACGTATGGCGGGGGACCAGGCCTGGGGCTCCCCAGGCCGGAACCTGGACCGCAAGTGTGTGATCTGGGGGCCCGGTCCGCTCCTGGGAGGCCTCAGCTCTGGCCCCAGAGCGCTCAGGACGCCGTCACGGCGGCGCAGGCAAGCCACGAGTCGCCCCGCAAGACGGCCTCCAGGAGTCTTGGACGGCGCACGGAGCGTCTCCAGCGGCCGAAGAGGAGCGTCTCCAGCGGCCGAAGAGGCCTCGAAGACGACCCAAGACAGCTCCAAGACGACCCCAAAGAGAGCCCCGAGAGGCAAAAATCCCCGCTTTCCCCAAAGGAAACGGTCATGATTCGCTCCTGGGGTCTTCCCAGCGACCACGACGGACCAAGACGCACCCTGGACCGCCCCAAGACGGCCCACGAGGCCCCCAAAAGAGCACCAAGACGGCCCAAAAGGATCTCAAGACGGTCGACGAGACGCCTAAGACTGCCCAAACGAGCCCCAAGAGAGGGCCAAGACGGGGGACTCCAACTGACATTTCGGACCCTCCGCCCAAGGAGCGACTCCGAGACCGCCATCAAGCCCTCAAGAGGCCCCCCCCCAGAGGTCCGAAGAGGCCCCTGAAGGCCCACAACAAGCCCCCAAGAGGCTCCCAAGAAGCCCCCAAGGGGCCCCAGGAGGCTCCCAGGAAACCCCCAGGAGGCGCCGAGGAGGCCCCGAGATGCCCGAGGAGGCCACGAAGATGCAGAGGCCATAGGTTCCCATTTGAAGTGGAGCCTTTCTCGCTTTCCCGGGCCTCTCCGGGCCAGGGACAGCCCCGGGAGTTTCCCGGACAACCCCAGGCTGGCCCCAAAAAGGACCCGAAGCAGCATTGGAGGGCCACAAGACTGCCTGCGGCCCCAAGACGGCCACAAGCCTCTTGATTCCGCCAAGACGCTTCCAAGAGGCCCCGGAGAGGCCTCCAAGAGGCCAGTCATAATCGCAACCCTGAGGCTCCCTCCAGGAGTTTCCAGATAGGCCACTTTGGGATTGTGTAGGACCCTTCGAGGAAGCCACAGGAGATCTCTAGAGCCCCCTAGGCACTCTGGGCGGAGATTAAAGGCCCTTTCAGATTCACATACGTGCCATGACCCTCCCTTTGGCCCTCCCTTCCAGCTCACTTTGAAACAAAACTGCGGCCATGTCGGAGCGCTCTAGCGCCCATTCCTGAAACCAATTGGCGCCGCCACATGGTGCTCCGTTCGAGCCCTCTGGGGGCCTCCGCGGAGTTTTTCTGGGGCCGTCTCGACGCTATTCGAGGTACCACTTTAAGCCCTCTTGGAACACATATTGGCACCATCTTGACGCAACGTTTGAGCCTCTTCCTGGGACCTGTTCGGCCTTCTTCAGACGCCTTCTCAGGGTGCCTCTTGGGCCCTCTGTGGCCTTCACGTGGGGCCATTTCGGAATATCTTCGGCACTTGCGTGGCCGACAGGAAGCTTTCTTGAGGCGGTTTGGGGCCATCTTCGGAAGCTCTTGCGACGACTCTCAGGGCACTACTGCTCTCAGTTTCGGGGCCGCTTTAAACTGTCTTGAGCCCTCTCTTGAGCCCCCCATTGGAGCCTGTCGAACGGCGCTATTGGGATGTCCTTGGGGTGCTCCTGAGATCTCTGAGTTCCCAGAGCTCCTCGGGTTCGTTCGGCCCCGTGGTTGTTTCGAACTGCACGGCACTGTATCACTGTGTTCCTTTGATTGCGTCGCATGCGCATTTCTACTACTTCATGTTTCAAAGTCCGTTGGTTCACATTGCTGTACTTTGCCTTGACATGTGCTGCATGGTATTGCCTGGCATATGATTTCCTCACTTCTGCTTGCAGTGCTCGGCGTCGCATCGACCATACGTCTGGTCTCCGCGGAAAGCGTTGCACTGCATTGTTTTAACGTTCACTACATTGCCTTCGCTGTTCTGCATGGTGTCACATGAAATTATGCGGAAGCGTTATTGCCAATACCTCACTTCTACTCGACCCGCGCTGTTCGCATCTCAAAACTGCATGCTGGAACGATGTCTGAGTCACAACTTCACTGAAGCCGTGAGCTTGCGCGTATGCGTACGTGTGTGTGTGTGTGCGTGCATCTATGCCATGTGTGCATGCAGGCGTGCTGCGTCAGGGACCCGGGTCTCCTCCGCCTCCATCGCCCTCGCCAGCTCCTCCCTCAGCCGCGCCATGGCGGCCTCCAGCCGCGCGGACCGCCCGCGCTCCTCCCTCAGCGCCGCGGCCCCGCGCCGCCTGGACGGGGGAGGGGGAGGGGGAGGAGGAGGAGGAGGAGGGGGAGGAGGAGGAGGAGGAGGAGGAGGAGGAGGAGGGAGGAGGAGGAGGAGGAGGGAGGAGGGCGATGAAGGCGGGAGGAGGAGGAGGAGGAGGGGGCGGGGAGAGGAGGAGGAGGAGGCGGGAGGAGGAGGAGGAGGAGGAGGAGCAGGAGCAGGAGGAGGAGGAGGAGGAGCAGCGCGTGGCCACGGGCGCGCGGGCCCTCGGCCCCCGGGCCTCCGAGGCCAGCACGGCCCTCGGGGGCCCGTGCTCGGGCCGGGGCCACGGGCGAGCGGGCGCGCGCGAGGAGGCGCTGCCCCCCGGGGAGGGGGCCGGGCCTTCGCTGCGGCCGCGGACTGCGCGCGGGGCGAACGCCGCGCCGCCTCGGGCCGTCGGCGCATCGCGACCGACGCGCGATCGGCGCATCGCGCCGCCTCGGGCCGTCGGCGCATCGCGCCGGGCCGTCGGCGCATCGCGACCGGGCTGGATCGGAGTGGCCGAAGGCGAGTCCGGCGGATGCACCGAGGCGCCAGGCGAAGACCGCGCCGTCGCGCCGTCTCGGACCCTCGGCGCCTCGGAGCTGAGTCGGACCGGGCTGGCCGAAGCCGATGTCGGTGGCAACTCGCGGGAGCCTTCCATACCATCTTATCGGCTCTTGTGGATCGACGCTAGTCGACGCTGAATCGATGCGGATCGACGCTAATCGACGCTGAATCGATGCGAATCGACGCTACATCGACGCTAATCGACGCTGACCGGCGCTAAATAGGCGCTATCTCTCATCGACTTCAGACGCCAATCGACGCGAATCGACGCGAATCGACGGAATTAAGAGGGTATACCAGGCTCCCGCGATTTGCCACCGAAGCCCATCTTGAAGCCAGATCGATCTGCACGAGCTTGACCCTGACGTCGGCTTTTGGGCTATAGCTTTAGGTCGGGCATGTCCCCCTACAGGCGGATTTTCAACCAAAATAATCAAAAAAATGATTGAAAAAACGTCCCCAGACTATGTCTTAATATTTTTGAATACTCCTCCTGTAAAGGGACAGGCCCGACTTAAGGCTGTAGCTCAGGCCACCGGCGCCCTCGGCGAGGCGAAGCTGCCTGCGTGCATCCCGGGGCGGGAAGACATGCAAGAATTGGGTCGGGCATGTCCTCCTACGGGCGGATTTTGGGCAAATAAAAAATGCCCCCCCGAAATATTCAGAAATGGTCCCAACAAAAAAAACGTCCCCAGAGGATTAGGTCGGGCGTGTCAAAAATACTCAAAAATAGTCACACAGAGAAACGTCCCCAGACTATTGTTTGACTATTTTTGCATATTCCTCCTGTAGGGGGACATGCCCGCCTTAATGCAAGAATCGTCGATAACATCAAACAAACGTCCGGAAACTCTAACCGGAAAAAAACGGCCGCACAAACAACTTTAGGATCGGCCAAATCGAAACGGACCTCGCCTGGACGCATCGTGTCGTCAGCGCATCGGGACCGCATCGGATCGGGCCAGCCGAAGTCGGCATCGAATCGGATCGATCTGATCGACGTGGCGGTCTCTGCAAACCCTGAAACCAAAAATGTTACCACCTCTTGGGGGGCGCCTCTTCACCGCCGCTGGCTTCCGCAGGCCTTCCGCCCGCTTCCGCCAGCGGAGGCAGACCCGTTTTGCTTCCGCTGGCTTCCGCCGCACTTCCGCCGCTCTCCACCGAGGATTAGGTCGGGCGTGTCCTCCTAGCGGCGGATTTTGGATGAAAAAGAAACATGTTTTTTTACGCTTTCATTCCCCACATCCAAAGTGGGGTTCTTGTTTTCTCTGCACACCCCGCGCAGGAACACTCACCCCACCCCCTCTACTCTTCTGCCTTCGCACACTCACTCACTCACTCATCATCATCACCACTCACTCACACTCACACTCACTCACACTCTCTCATCATCAACATCAGCATCATCACTCGCGCTCTCTCACACGCTCAGTCACTCATCATCATCATCATCATCATCATCATCATCATCATCATCATCATCATCATCATCATCATCATCATCACTCGCACTCTGTCACACGCTCACTCATTCACATACTCACCTGGAGGAAGTCTCAGGCGGGAGTTCGTCTGTGAGTGAATTGTGAGGAAGTCTCAGGCGGGAGCCCCCTCCCTATGGGGCCCGCAGATCATGTTGGTAATCCGAGCGGGTCATCCAAACCCTGTAGCTGTCGTCACTTTTGGGCTCCTCAAGCTTGAGTACGGAGAAAGTCTCAGGCGGGAGCCTCGTCTGTGAGTGAATTGCGAGGAAGTCGCAGGCGGGAACCCCTCCCTATGGAGCCCACGCTTCATGTTGGTAATCCGAGCGGGTCATCCAAACCCTGTAACTGTCGTCACTTTTGGGCTCTTCAGGCCTGAATTCGGAGGAAGTCTCATGCAGGAGTTCGTCTGTGAGTGAATTGTGAGGAAGTCTCAAGCGGGAGCCCCCTCCCTATGGGGCCCGCAAATCATGTTGGTAATCCGAGCGGGTCATCCAAACCCTGTAACTGTCGTCACTTTTGGGCTCCTCAAGCTTGAGTACGGAGGAAGTCTCAGGCGGGAACCTCGTCTGTGAGTGAATTGCGAGGAAGTCACAAGCGGGAACCCCTCCCTATGGGGCCCGCGCTTCATGTTGGCAATCCGAGCGGGTCATCCAAACCTTCTAACTGTCGTCACTTTTGGGCTCTTCAGGCCTGAATTTGGAGGAAGTCTCAGGCGGGGGCCTCGTCTGTGAGTGAATTGTGAGGAAGTCTCAAGCGGGAGCCCCCCCCCTATGGGGCCCGCAGATCACGTTGGTAATCCGAGCGGGTCATCCAAACCCTGTAACTGTCGTCACTTTTGGGCTCTCGCGCTGCCAGAACGCCATTCCCGGGCCACATTGTGCATGCCCGGAGCCAACTGTAGGCCACTTCGTGTTCTTCGTGTTCCCAGAACACCATTCCCGGGCCACATTTTGAAACCCCGGAGCCAACTGTAGGCCACTTCGTGTTCTTCCTGTTCCCAGAACACCATTCCCAGGCCACATTCTGGATGTCCGGAGCCAACTGTAAGCCACTTCGTGTTCTTCCTGTTCCCAGAGCGTCATTCCCGCGGGGTTGTCCCAACGGCTGCGCGACGTGGCCATTAGAGAACGCTCCTGTGCTGGCCGAGGCGGCGACGGCGCCGAGGAAAACCGACATGCGCGCTCGTGCAATGGAAAGGCGAGGCGGTGGCGGGGCGCGAAAAAAACAGGAGGGCGAGGTCGGGGGCAACGTAGGGAGCGGGGGGAGGGCCCGCGCCAGGGCGAGAAGAAATATACGCAGAAGAGACAGTCAGGACGCCTCACCAACCACGGGGACGACGGTGAGCGCTTTTTCCAAATTCGCCCAGAGGATTTTCATGTGGGGTCCTTCCGTCGGAGTAATTTTAACTATTTTTGAACATTCCCCCTGTAGAGGGACACGCCCGACTTAATATGAGATGTCAACTCCTTCGACTCTCGAAGGCGAAGCCTCTTCTGGAGCCCGCCAAGAAGGGCCCGCCGGGACGCGCGCAGCTCCTCGACCACACGCGCCCAGGGTGTGCGTTGCTGTTCCGCATCCTGGTGTGGCGTTTTCGCACCTCCCTGCCCAGCTCACAGTGCAAGCCGGGAGAGAAACGAACGGTTGTTGACGCCACGCAGGGCGCAGCATGATCGACGTCTCTCCCATTTCCCCTTGCCTCTCTTAGGGGGACGAACAACGACATAGACATAAAAACTCCGAGGTCCGCGCGGAGTTTTTGGAACCGCGCTGGACCACCCTCCCTGGCACGCGGAGCGCGCCAGGGGCGGCGCCAGAGACGCCGCTGGGGGGCTCCAGCGCGGATCCGAGCAATCCGCGCGGACCTCCGAGTTTCGATGTTCATGTCATTGCTCGTTCCCCTAATGATCAACATCTCTCCCATTTCCCCTGGTCTCTCTGGCCGCTTCTCCTCCTCCTCCTCTTCCTCCTCCTCCTCCTGCTCCTCCTCCTCCTCCTCTTCCTCCTCCTTTTATTACTATCATTCGTCTTCTTCTTCCTATTATTATGATTAGTACTATTATCATCATTCGAGTTCTTATTAGTATTGCTTGTAGTACTGGTGTTATTTTTCGTATTATGAATATATTATGATTACCATTATTACTCTTATGGGTATTATCATGACTATTAGATTCCTTATGCTTATTATTCGATATATCCTTCCTCCTCCTCCCCCTCCCCCTCCACCTCTCCCACTCCTCTCCCCCCTCCTCCTGCTCCTACCTCCCCCCCCCCTCTCCTCCTCCCCTCCCACGCCTCCTCCTCCTCCCTCCTTCTCCTCCTCCGTCTCCTCCCCCTCCCGCCCTCCTCCTTCCTCCTCCTCCTCCTCCTCCTCCTCCTCCTCCTCCTCCTCCTCCTCCTCCTCCTCCTCCTCCTCCTCCTCCTCCCTCCTCCTCCTCCTCCTCCCCTCCTCCTCCTCTCCTCCTCCTCCTCCTCCTCCTCCTCCTCCTCCTCCTCTTGCCTGTTTCAGCGATCCGTTCGGCCCGCGCCTGGACGCGCGCAGCTCCTCGACAGCGCGCGCGAGCTCGAGCAGCATCTCGCGCGCCTGCGCCTGGTGCTCAGCGCGGACGGCGGCCTCCTGGACGAGGAGGAGGAGGAGGAGGAGATGAGGATGAGGATGAGGAGAGGATGAGAAGGAGAGATGTGGATGATGATGATGATGATGATGATGATGAGATGATGATGATGATGATGATGATGATGATGATGATGATGATGATGATGATGATGATTGATGATGGACTGAGGAATGATGATGAGGGAGGAGGAGGAGGAGGAGGAGGAGGAGGAGGACGAGGAGGAGGAGGAGGAGGAGAAAGAGGAAGACGAGGACGAGGACGAGGAGGACGAGGAGGAGGAGGAGGCGGAGGAGGAGGAGGAAGAGGAGCGGACGGCGGCCTCCTGGCACTCCGCGGGGGGCGCGGGGCCCTTCTGGCCGACAGCGCCCTCCGAGTCGGCGCGAACGAGCGAACGACCCAGCTCTCCGACGATCTGATTCCTTGAGAGGGAGATAATGTGCATAAGCATCAGCGCCTATCCGAGTCGGCTCGAACGGGCGAAGGACCCAGATCTCCGACGATCTGAGTCCTCAAAAAGCAAATGTGCATAAGCATTCATTTTCGGAGCTCCGCGCTGATCTCTTGGATCGGCGCTGGGCCCCACTGGCGCGCTCCGCGCGCCAGGGAGGGGAGCACAGCGCCGTTCCAAGAAATCCGCGCGGAGCTCCGAAGGTTTATAGCTATGCAAAATGTTCTCCTTCGACTCTTCGATCCGCACGCTTTGCTTCGCTGTCGACCCCTGGGGCCAGGCATCGGGCCCAGGGACCATCCACAGCGGATCCAGGAAAACTGGCCCTCAGCGAAGGGGTCGGGACCCCTGGGCCGCGGAGGGATAAGAATCGAGCGGTCGGCTGCCTGGGGAACGCGGGGCAGAGCCCTCCCGACCCAAGACGCCTTTACTACACGCCAGCGCGAACGAAGGAACAAACCGCATCAGCGGACAGCCCCTGACACCCCCGCCTCGCGAAAAAAAGCAAGACGGGAAGCTTTGGGCTGTATTCGGCCTCCACGGGGACCGTCAATGAACGACCCGGGATGAAAAGCCTGTCCCTGTGGAGGAATCCAAGCCTCTGGGGAGCCGGGTTGAAGAAAGCAGGGCCCGGATGAACCCTACGGTCAGGATCGTCTGCTTAGCGTCGGCCCTGGCGACCCGCTGAGCATGCACTGCGAGCGAATAACGCGTCGCTCTGCTCCGCGGAGCGGGAGGCTGGGGAAGGCTCGGGACATTGATGCCTGGCGACCTTGACGTGGCCAGCGTGTCGCGCCGGAGCGTGGCGGGCCGGAGCTGGCAGGGCGACACGCTCAGCCAACGCTCCCGGCTGGAAGGACCGGGTGGGTGCGGCCACGGCCTCCCGGATCGAAGGATTGCAAAAAGGATTGCAAAAAAAAAAACCTCCGGGAACGAAGGATTGCAAAAAGGGGTTTTTTTGCAATCCGGGTTTTTTTGCAATCCTTGGTTTTTTTGCAATCCTTGGGGCATGCAAGTGTGCATCGGAGCTGCGAGACGACTGGCAAGCTGTGGCGGAGAAGGGGAGGAGGAGTCGGAGAAGTCCTGGCTGTTCGGGCGCGAGGGCGCCTTCGAGGCACATTCGGCGCGCGGCCGATTGTCAACCCTTGGTTCTTTCAGTTTTTGGCGCCCATACGCCGACACCGATGGCACGTGCAGATCGGCATCTGTTGGGACATCTTTGGCCCCTGGGGGCCCGTTTCGGGCCACAGGGCACTCGGAAATCGATACTGGAATAAGACTGCCCAGGATGTGGAAGGGGGGGGGTCTGGGGACCGATTTGGAGCAGATTCTGGCACCTCCAAAAAACATTAGAGTAGAGGGCCGAACGGTCATTCACTGCCCCTGGGCGCGTAGTTGAAGTGAGGTTCTGGGGTGCGGGTTGTTGTTGTTGTTGGTGGTGGTGTTGTTGTTGCTGCTGGTGTTGTTGCTGTTGCTACTGATGCTGGTGTTGGTGTTGGTGTTGATGGTGTTGTTGCTGGTGGTGGTGTTGATGTTGTTGTTGTTGGTGGTGGTGGTGGTGGTGGTGTTTCTGTTGTTGGTGGTGGTTTGGGTGTTGGTGTTGGTGTTGGTGTTGTTGCTGGTGTTTTTGTCGGTGGTGTTGCTGCTGTTTTTGTTGAAGTTGACGTTGATGGTGGTGGTGGTGTTGTTGGCGTTGTTACTAGTTTTGTTTGTTGTTTGTTGATTGTTGTTTGTTGTGTGCTGCTTGTTGTTTGCTGTTGTTTGTTGTTGTTTCTTGTTGTCGTCCCCCCCACGGCCAACCCGCCACCCACCCGCGACCCACCCGCGACCCACCTGGGAACCACCCACGACCCACCCTGCGACAGACCTGCGACCCACCCGCGGCCCACCCCGAGACTTGCCGGGGACCCACCCGCGACCCACCCGCGACCACCCCGCGACCCACCCGCGACCCACCCACGACCTTGGTCGCGACCCACCCGCGACCCACCCGCGACCCACTTGCGACCCATCTGCGACCCACCCCGCGACCCACCCACATTGCTTGAACGAAAAAACCAACAAACAAAAACGGCTGCGGCGGTTTTCTTCAGAGCCTCGCGGACTGCCGACCTCCCCGCAGCCCCCTCACTCTTGTCCGCAACTGCGGGGTGCTACGTCTATACGTAGCCCGCCGCAGACGTCTAAATTGCTAAAATTATTCAGCAAGCCCGCCGCAGGCGCTGATTTTTCCGTCAAAGCAACGTGGGTGGGTCGCGGAGTGAGTCGCGGGTGGGTCGCGGGCCAGGTTGCGGGGTGGGTCACGAGTGGGTCCCGGGGTGGGTTGCGGGGTGGGTCGCGGGTGGGTCGCGGGCCAGGTCGCGGGTGGGTCACGGGTGGGTCGCGGGGCGGGCCGCGGGTGGGACGACGCTAGACAGCAACAAAACAAGAAGCAGCATCACCAACAACAACAACAACAACAAGAACAACAACAACAACAACAACAACAACAACAACAACAACAACAACAACAACAACAGACAACAGACAACAGACAACAGCAACAACAACAGCAATCATTTTAGGACTTGTCGCTCTGATCTGCTCGCGTGCCACTCAACACGTATACCCCGAACCCTGGATACCCGCCGTCTTCGTCTTCGACCGCACCCCCTTGGAAGGAGATTTGTCTTACCTGCAACGTGCATTTCGTGCAGCCCCTGAGGAAGGGGAAGGGAGGACGTATGGAAGGAAGGGACAAAGGGGGAGGGAGGAGGATGGAGCACAAGAGAGACAAGGAGGAGGGGGGCTAGGAGCAGAAAACACGTAGCAGAACCAGACGGGCAGATCGGGCGGGTAGACCCTACCAGGCGGGTCGGGAAGGAGGACCCAGACGGCCAGGTCGAGCAGATGGGTTGCTGAAGCGTGCGTGCTGCATGAACCGTGATGATTTCTCGAGCGACAGCTCAATTCCCAAATCAATCGTGAGGAAATCCACAGCGAGAGCGTGACTCTTGAATGTCGAGGGCGCGGCGTCTGAATAAATTGCGAGGAAGTCCCACGCGAGAGCGCGATTCCTGAATCAGTTGTTAGGAAGTCACGCGCGAGAGCGCGATTTGAGAATAACTTGTGAGGAGGTATCAGGCGGGAGCCGTTTCTGCTGTTGTAATTCAGGGCCAAAAAAAAAGTTTGACCCGAATGATGTTCCCTATTAAAAAACAAGGTGCGAGCCCTTGAAAGGGCATTTCGTGTGAAAAACACAATGGTCACCGGAGGGGGGGATCAACAATAATTCAGACTGAGGGGGCCGAACGGTCACTCATTGTCCCTGGGCGCGTGGCTGAAGTGAGAACCCGTGGTGAGGATTATGCTTGTTGCGTTGTTGTTATTGTTGAACTCTCACTTCTGAAGAATAATTGTTGTTGATCCCCCTCACCGGTGCATGTGGTTTTTCTCAATCAAAGTGAGCCCCTCGACGCTCGCACCCGGTTTTTTG